TGAAAAGATTAACAAAACTGACAAACTACCTAATTGACCAAGAAAAAAAGAAAGATAACTCACATTACTATAATCAGATATAAAAGAGGTGACATGACTAACAACCTTTAAAGGATTAAAAGAAATACAAGTAGGCTGGGCACAGTGGCTCATGCCTGTAATCCCAGCACTTTGCAAGGCCAAAGCTGGTGGATCACTTGAGGTCAGGAGTTCAAGGCCAACATACTACTAAACAACAATTTGGCCAACATGGTGAAACCCCTTCTCTATGAAAAATACAAAAAATCAGCCAGGCGTGGTGGGACATGCCTGTAATCTCAGCTACTTGGGAGGCTGAGGCAGGAGAATCATATGAATCTAGGAGGTGGAGGTTGCAGCGAGTCAAGATCATACCATTGCACTCCAGCCTGGGCAACAAGAAACAAAAAAAGAAAAAAAAAAAAAATACTACAAGTAAATGCACACTAATAAATTTGACAATTAGATGAAATGGACAAATTCCTAGAAACACAAACTACAGAAACTGATTCAAGAAGAAATAGCCAGGTACAATGGCTTATGCCTGTAATCCCAGCACTTTGGGAGGCCGAGGCAGGTGGATCACCTGAATTCAGGAGTTCAAGACCAGCCTGGGAAACATGAAACCCTGTCTCTACCAAAAATACAAAAAATTAGCCAGGCATGGTGGCTCATGCCTCTAGTCCCAGCTACTCAAGAGGCTGAGGTGGATCACTTTAGCTTGGGAGGCAAAAGTTGCAGTGAGCCAGCATCGTGCCACAGCACTCCAACCTGGGTGACAGAATGAGACCTTGTCTCAAAAAAAAGAGAAGAAGAAGAAATAGGCAATCTGAATATGCTTATAACAATAAAGAGATTGAACTAGCACTCAAAAAACTATCCACAAAGAAAAGCTCAGCCCCAGATTGCCTTACTGATAGCTCCTACCTAACATTTAAAGAATTAATACAAGGCCAGGCATGGTGGCTTATGCCTGTAATCCCAACACTTTGGGAAGCTTGAGGCAGGCAGATCACTTAAGGAGTTCAAGACCAGCCTGGCCAACATGGGGAAACCCAGTCTCTACTAAAAATACAAAAATTAGCCAGGCATGGTGGCAGACACCTGTAATCTTGGAGGTGCTACTTGGGAGGCTGAGGCAGGAGAATCACTTGAACCCAGGAGGCAGAGGTTGCAGTGAGCAGAGACCACACCATTGCACTCCAGCTTGGGCAACACAGTCTGCCAAAAAAGAAAGGGAAGAGAAGGGAAGGAAAGGGGAGGGGAGGGGAGGGGAGGGGAGGGGAGAACTCAATATAATTAAGGGCTTCTATGAAAAACTCAAAGTGAACATCATACTTAATGGTGAAAGACTGAATGCTCAGCCCTAAGACAAAAAATAAAACAAGGATGTTTACTCATCATTTCTATTCAAGATTGTACTAGAGGTTCTAGCAAGAACAGTTAAGAAAAAAAAATTAGAACCATGACGATTAAAAGACACAAAAACATCTCGATTTGTAGATGATATAATCTTGTATACAGAACATCCTAAGAACAGCTTCCAGATAGTTTAACACATGGAGATTCCTGGAGGGTGGTGCGCCCAGGGAAAGCATGGAAGCCTCTTCCCCATACCTGGATCTACACATCTCTTCATCTGTATCCTTTGTAGTATAATAAACTAGCAAGTGGGCAGGTGCAATCTTAGTTCCTGCTGGATGCAAGGAATAATAAGCCAAAAAGGAGCTGGGCTGCATGTCAGAAGGATATCTCCCCGCTTTGCCTGCGGGAGCATCACATTAGAAAACCACACTTCACTAAGGGTAAGCCTCAGGACTATGTGACCGTCTTGAAGTCACCTTGACATATTAGGGATGAATTTAGAAGAGGACAATGGCAAGGTTCGGGACGCGCAACCCCAAAATATGGCATCTTGGCATTTGAAAACACAGCAAAAGCAGGAAAGTCACTCTCGTCATTCCTTCTTCTCCCCGAAACAAGATTTTCATTTTAAGAGGGACCTTCCCTATACCTAGAGGAAAGGAATATCCTTAGCTCTGAAGACACAAGGGACAAAAGGAAGAATCTGCACAAACAGGCCTTGCTAAGTTCCCCAGGTTTATTACCATTAGATCATACTCTTTTGTCCTCCAGTCATAATTCTCCACAACTGTCTACTCTTCATCAAACTTAGCATAAAATTACCCAGGCTTCCCTGTTTCCTTGTCTTCATGTCATAGGAGGGAAGGCTCCCATGTCATGTAAAACTTATATTAAATAAATTTGTATGCTTTTCTCTTGCTAACCTGTCCTTTGCTATGGATGTCTCTGTCATGAATCCAGCAATAAGTAAGAAAAGAAATATTTCCTCTCCCTTCCCAACAACGCTATCAATAAAGGTGACACACTCCAAAAAAGAAAAAGAAAATAAGAAATCCACTGAAAGACTATCAAAACTAAATAACAAGGTAAATAAGGTTGTGGGATACACAATCAATATACAAAAATGAGGCAAAGATCATTACCGGCCACTAAAACCAGAGAAGAGACAACCAGCCATTACGGGCCCCCTGATGGAAGCACATAATGCTATCTATGACATTTTCTTGCAAAAAAAAAACAAACAAAAAAAACATGAAGCAGCCCAAGCCTCTGGATCTAAAAGTTTGCAGGAAATAAAGAGAATGAAGAAACAACACCATGGGGATACAACTGGCAAAATCAAGACTATAGGAATCTATAGGCCAAACAACCCAGTTTCTTCAGCAAATAAATTGCAAGAAAAGAAAAAGGAAAAAGGAGAAAGTGGGATTACAGGAAAAAAGAGAAAAGGAAAAGGGAAAGCACTGGGATTACAGGTGGGAGCCACTTGATTTCTATAGAGTGAAGGATCTTAGAGGTCAAGTGGCTCCCACCTGTAATCCCAGCACTTTGGGAGACCAAGATGGGAGGATCACTGGAGCCCAGGAGTTCGAGACTAGCCTGGGCAACATAGCAAGACCCCATCTCTACAAATAATAATACAAAATAATTAGCCAGGCATGGTGGCATATGGCTGTGGTCCCAACAATTTGAGGGGCCAAGGCAAGAGGATCACCTTAGCCCTAGAGGTCAAGGCTTCAGTGAGCTGTGATCATGCCACTGCACCCCAACCTAGGTAACAGAGTGAGACCCTCTTTCAAAAAAAAAAAAAAAAAGATTTTTGAGCATATCAACCAAATTCAATTTATGGGCCTTATTTGGATTCTAGTTTGAAGGAATCAACTGTGAAAAGAAATTAACAATAGAGGGAAATTTGAATTTGCCTGGATATTTGATGATATTAAACAACTATGATTAATTTTTGCCGTTATTTTTAACACTTTTCTTTTAGAGGTGTATGCTGAAATATTTATGGATAAAATGACCTTTGCTTCAAATAACCTTGTTCAGAATGGGGGTATATGTATATGAAACAAGATTGGACATAAATTGATAATTCTTACGTAATGGACAAATGGGAACTCATTAACTTTTGTATGTTTCCAATTTTCCTGATTAAAATAAAAATGGAGCCAGCATCCCTGGGACCCACATTAATCAATTATAGAAGACGACAGACAGTACTCCAGGAAGGAGAGGAAGTCAGACTCTGGTTAAATATGATGACGAATATCCTACACTGTTTCTGGAGAATGAAGTGAAAGAACAGCAGAGTGGAATAATGAAAAGAGCTCTGACCTAGCACTAGGAGACCCAGATTCCAGCTCAGCTCCACTTCCAAGCTCATGATCTCAGTCAAGACAAATCCCCTCTCTGAGCTTCACTATCCTTACTTTTAAAATGGGGCTGCAAATAAATGATCTCTATGTTGTGGGGCTAAATTCTTCCTCCTTAAAATTTGTCCCAAATGATGGCTATGTTCAGTCCTAATGTTTTGCAGGACTCAGGAAAAGTGTACAAAAACAGGTCTACTAACCATGTCTGATCATTTAAAAACTATAAATCAAGCTAACAAATTGTTAAATAAAACATGTTCTATCCTCCTACCTTGACCAGTATATCTTCATGATCTAGAAAGTCAAGTTCATTCAAAATCCACAGATTCCTTGAGATTCCACACAAACATGCAGTACTAGAAGAACCAGCCCTCACTTCTCATCCCCAGATCCCATCCTTACTGGGAAAGGCCACAAATACAGATGCCCCAACCTATATGTCCAAGCTGTGGGCACATCCCTCTCCATATACCCTCCTCTTACCCCGCTTGAACCCAGCAGTGCACACACTGGTGGGATAGTCCACACTTGGAAGGATGGACCCATGAAAGATGCCTGTACAAGCCATGGAAGTAGGCAAGAGGCCACTCAGCAGAAAATTCCAGGGAACCAAATACCAGGAACAAAGTCTCAACGGGAGTCACAGACTCCAGCTAGGTGTACATCCATTTGGCTCTGCAAATTTCTCTGCCATGAGGGGCAGCACAGCCAGAAGACCAGAGGACTTTCTAAAGCATGGGGTCAAGGCAAGGGCCTTCCTTGCCCAGGTCTAAGATACTGAATATATCAGTTTCATTATATTATTATCTTTCCTTTTACGTAATTTTGAAATCTTTACTACATTAAATCTTTTTAAGGACTAAAACTGAAAAAAAAAATCTCTCCAAAACCAAGTTAGAGGTTCCCTGAGACTTTGAAATTCTGTGTCTTTATGAGGATCGCTGAAACTTTCTTGCAGTCTCAGTTCCTTAGAAACGAGAGCCTTTTGGCTGAGTGCAGTGGCTCATGCCTGTAATCCCAGCGCTTTGGGAGGCTGAGGAGGGAGGGCTGCTTGAGCCTAGGAGCTCATGATCAGCGACACAATGAACATTATTTGATGACAATGTAGATCCCATCTCCAAAAGAAACCATTTCCAGGGAATGAGAGAAAAATCTAGCAAGCACCATGGCAGCTCCCATGAGCCAAATTCAGCCCCCTACCACTGGAAACCTTTCAGAGCTTCAGAGATGAGGTAAGAGTGACCCAGAAAACAGATACCAAGAAACACCTTTTCCTTCCTCCTAGAAAGAGAAAATGAGTCTTTTGATTGAGAAGCAGTTGTGTTTAATCACCAAGATTATCCTGACCCTAATGGAAGAGAAATAATATAAATGTAAAAGGGGTAGGGCTTTTTCTCCTACATTTATTTTAGAGGCAAGTAGAGGTAAACAAAGAAATCTGAATCCCTAAGCTCAGAGCTCAGGCCCTGGGAAAGGCTCCAGAGAGCAGAAGTCCTCTCTCCTCTTGCCCTTATGTGAAACGCTGCTGTCCTCAGGATACCAGCCATCCCACTCTGGAACACAGCTGCTACGGGAGATGCCTTCAGTCTACTTCTCCAGAGGCTTCTCACTCTGTCCCAGAGGACTGGCTCTCCTCATCCTCATCATCAGTGTCCTGAAGAATCCTCAGTAGTGCGAGCTCAGAGTTCGAGCTTGTTCTAGCCATACTTTCTGCAAAGCTCAAGGAGACCTTCTTTTGGCTGACAGCCTGAGCTTCTGGCACAGCTTCCACCAGAGCACTAATGTCCTTGTTAGTCGGTTCTGTTTCATACAATTCAGGACCTAAAAGAAGATGCAGTCATTAATTGCACCTGTAAACTTCTCTCAAATAACTATGACAAATGGAGGACAGAAAAGGAAAAACTGGGGTGTTTTTTAGGATCTCTCTAAGACAGGAGGACTGTGCCTTCAGGGAGGTAAACCATCCTGGTCAACACAGGTTCAGTTCTCCCTAGCCTCAGTCACTTACTAAGGCTCCTCTACTCTAGTAACTTACTTTTCACACTGTGGTAGAGATCCACATGGTCATAACAGTCCATCTTTGGTCTCTCTGTGGAATCCTGAAATTCATCAGGGAAAAACATAAGGAAATTTGAATCAAGACTTTAGGGAACTAAAAGGATTTTTCTAAAAGATGTTTTCCTTGGAGAAATTAACATCTAAGATGAGCCAGAGACCCATCTCTTTGGACTGAAAAGAAGCTGGTATCACACATTCTTTGCTCTCCGTGCTGTCGAAATGAAGCTAGAACCACTCCTTCCCGTTCCCTACAGTCAACCAAGGGCAGACGGCCTCCAAGGATGGCTTCCAACAATTCCTCTCATTCCAGTTTGCACATGCTGTTCCTCCCATCAAGAGACAGGGCCTATTTCTTCTCTTATTTACTCTCTGGGATTGACTTGCAACTTCTTCAGCCAATAAAATGTGGCAGAAGTAACACTGTTTTAATTCCAGGCCCATCCCTTAAGAAACTGCTTTCATGAGACTGCTATGCTGCCAAAAAGCCCAAAAAAGCCACATGCAGAGGCCTCAGGAAGGAAAACCAGCAACTTGGGCAACAGTCTCAGCCCAGCTGCATTACGTGACCTCAAGCAAGAAGAGAATAACTGTTCAGTCAACCCACAGAATCATTAGAAATAACAAATCACTATGGTTATGCTTTGGAGTAACAGATAACTGAAACTGGGTCCTAGCAGAGGCCCTGGCACACTCTCACCTGTTTTGAGGTGGTTCCTTCTGTCTCCATCAGCTGCTGCTGCTTCATGTCACTTTTCCGACCTGGCAGAGTTCTGTAATCTAATAACTAAAAAGTCAACTCAATCTTCCTTGTATTGGCCCATCATACCCTATTTTGGGGCTTCTAGGTGACATTTAGTCTATAAGTGACTCTGCATCCAGGAAAAGATAAGATCTTGGTGGCAGATAAAAGGTAGCTAGACCTTCTGAGTTCTATTTGAGATTCTGCTCACTTGGGACTATACTTTTATCTATTACAGAATTAGAGATTATGGTAAAGTGTGTGAAAAAGTCCCAGGATTCCTCCAAGAAACCCTAACTCTACCTTCTCGCAGCATATAAATACTCCTCTTACCAGAATGTGACTCATCTTGCGCCATCCCTCATGTACCCACAAACAAAGCAAAACAAAAACCTCTAGTTTCATGTATCTTTTGCATCAGCTGCTTCCCCAACTAGTCCCTAAGTACATTCATTCTTTCTTTTCTCAATCTCCCTTTCCCTAAACAAACATCTTCCAAGCTGCCACCAGAGGCATTATGCTAAAATACAGCATTTCCATCGACTCCCCATCAGCACTGGTTCTCACCTTAGCTGCACACTGGGAGAACTGAGGAGCTTAAAAAAAAAAAATACTGAGGCCTAGTTTCTACCACCAGAAATTCTAATTTAATAGCTGGGATACAGCCTGAGTATTAGAATTTTAAAAGCTTGTAAGATCATGTTCCCATGGGAAAAAAAAATAATAATAAAGAAAAGAAAAGCTTGTTGGCCAGGCGCTGGCTCACACCTGTAATCCCAGCACTTTGGGAGGCCGAGGTGGGCGGATCACCTGAAGTCGGGAGTTCGAGACCAGCCTGGCCAACATGGAAAAACTTCGTCTCTACTAAAAATACAAAAAATTGTCCAGGCATGGTGGTGCATGCCTGTAATCCCAGCTACTCAGTAGGCTGAGGCAGGAGAATGGCTTGAACCCGGGAGGCAGAGGTTGCAGCGAGCAGAGATCACACCATGGCACTCCAGCCTGAGTAACAAGAGTGAAACTCTGTCTCAAAAAACTAAATAAATAAAAATAAAATAAATAAATTAAAAATAAAGGCTTCTCAATTGCTCTTAGCGTACAGTCAAGGCGGAGCACCACTGGCTGGGTGATAAAGGTCAAATGACTTGGCAGTCCATACAAACCTCTGCCTACCTCTGTGGCATGATGGACCACTCTTCCTCAGATACCCAACCCCACAACCACACTCAACGGTTCAGTGTTTCCTAAGCAGTTATGATCCTCCCCTATGCCTTTGCACAGGCTATTCCCTTTCAAGAGTTCTTTGCCATATCAGGAAAACTCCTACACATAATCAAGAACCAATGCAAAGATCATCTCTTCCATAAAGCCTTTCTCAACTCAGTGAGGACAGGCCACCACTCTAAGAAAATGACTCAGGGGGCACCCCAGTCACCCAAAAACTGCTGCTATTGGAGGCATTGGGAAGGGGTACAAAAGGCACCAGAATGGAATTCAGGGGAGTGGCAGTGGTCACCTTAGATGGAGTGCTAACTGTGGATACATCACTTCCTGCCCGGGGCCAAGCCCTGATTCTGTCTACCTCCCATGAGAAGGGCAGGGACTTTCTTAGAACTTCAGGTTAAAGGACATCACTGGCATCAGACAATAAGTGAGATGGGAAGGAAAGCAAGAGGGAAACATCCTTCTCAGGAAACTTAGTCTCAGCCCTCCCAATGCCCCAGGATGGAGAGTTCCTTCTGATGATTAAACAGTTGTTTTCTTATTAAAGTCAGCAATGTCCAGTCTGAGAAGGGCACAATGATCCTCCAAGGTTTTGGGGGATTCTTTCTCCCTCCTCCCATTCTACAATCAAGTTGAAAAATGTCAGATAGGGGTAAGTATATCCCTGAGCTCAGACATGATAAGGACTCCAAAATGGGGAGATATCGTTCTTGTATCCAGCACACGCACTGGAACAAAAGAAGTGCCTGACAAGAACTGGCTCCCTGCCTCCTGGATGGGGCTAGACAATGTGCTGATTTTTTTTTTTTTTTTTTTTGGAGACGGAGTTTCGCTCTTGTTACCCAGGCTGGAGTGTAATGGCGCGATCTCGGCTCACCGCAACCTCCGCCTCCTGGGTTCAAGCAATTCTCCTGCCTCAGCCTCCTGTGTAGCTGGGACTACAGGCACGCGCCACCATGCCCAGCTAATTTTTTGTAGTTTTAGTAGAGACGGGGTTTCACCATGTTGACCAGGATGGTCTCGATCTCTTGACCTCGTGATCCACCCGCCTCGGCCTCCCAAAGTGCTGGGATTACAGGCTTGAGCCACCGCGCCCGGCACAATGTGCTGATTTTAACGAGAGGCTCCAGAGACTCTCTACCTTGTGGCAGGGAGGTTAGGGGGCCCTGGAGCTCTGCTTCCTTAGAACTCCTCTGGGGTTCTAGCGAGGGGCCCCAGCTCTCCCTGCCTCATTGGACAATGGGCCCTCAGGGTTTTCTCTGCAAAAACATGGGCTTGCTCCTCTCCTTGTCCTCAAAGTGCTCTGCCTTTTCTTAGGTAGAACCTGAGGAAGAAATGACTGTGATTTATGTTCATGGTCATCTTTCAGGTCCCCATGTGAAGCATACATCTGGCCCAGTTTGTTTGCTTAGTAAATGTCTGCGGGAAGCATGGTGCAGGATAGACCAGACAGACTGAAGCATTTCAAGAAATTGTGAGTGCCTAACAAAGGCAGGTCTCAAAATGACAAGAGCATGCTTAGCTTTTCCTACCCTCAGACACCTACCCCTCAAGGATCCCATCACCCCCAACCAAGCATATATTACCCTTACCATAGAGACGATCACGAACGGTGGTAACTGGATGTTTAAGTGACGTGCTTTGGCTCCCTGGATCACCCTTGGCTTTCACTTTAGCCTCCTGAAACCCACATCAGGAGGAATGAATTAGGATATTTGGAAGCAAAGAAAATTTTTTCAAAAGGAATCAAAAAGAAGGAATTTAACATCTACAACCAAACAAGAACTTTATATCTATAACCAGACAGAAAACAAGGAGACTCCCACTTTTCATACATCCCTTCCATTGCAGGCTGTAGCTATTTCTCCCAGGCCCAGCAAGCCCCTCACTGCCACTCTACCTGTTTCTTAGTAGGTGTTTTCAACCTCCTCTGTTGCTGCTGCTGCCGCTGCCACTGCTGCTGTTTCCTGTAACCTGGTGACCAGAGAGCCAGATTGATCCTCTTCTCGCTAACAGCCCCCTCTCTCCAACTGGAATGCCTGCTGTGCCCTCCTTCACAATGCTGACTCTCCCTGGTAAGGACCAATCCAGACAGGCTGCTTCCTGAAACTATTGTTTCCTGAGTTCTACATGTCATTCTGCATGACTAAGGCCACAAATATAACTGAATTGGACCATGTTAAAGTATGAGAAATGTGGGCTGACAAAAATTGTGCTTAGAGATCCAGCAGCAACAGCAAATCTACCTTCTGTCTTCAGGTTACGTAATTTCTTCAGATGTTCAGGATATCGCAGTGCTGGTCTCTGGAGAAAGAAAAAAGAAGCAAAGCTCTACTGCAGATCTTTCCCTTTCTCCAAATGTGTCCCCCAAATGCGTTTATCATCCAGTCAACACTAGTGTTTTGCAGCATTGTACCAGAGGCTATGGAGGAAGGGAAAAGATGTGGGTAACAAAGTGCAGAAGAAATAGAGAACATGGCCAGGCACGCTGGCTGGCGCCTATAATCCCAGCACTTTAGGAGGCTGAGGTGGGTGGATCACTTGAGCTCGAGAGTTTAAAACCAGTCTAGGCAACATAGTGAAACCCTGTCTCTACAAAAAATTAAAAATTAGCCAGCCATGGTGGCACATGCCTGTAGTCCCAGCTACTCTGGAGGCTGAGGTGGGAGGATGGCTTGATCCCAGAAGGTCAAGGCTGCAGTGAGCCATGATAACCACTGCACTCCAGCCTGGATGACAGAGTGAGACCCAGTCTCTCAAAAAAGAAAAAAAGAAATGAAATAGAGAACATTACTCTGTCAACACTTCCCCATTGCTTGGCTTTCACCTACATAGAGCCCAGCCTTCTGCAGGCCTTGGGTTCAGCATGGAAAGGCAAAACAGAGATAAGGAATAGAATGTCTCCTCTTCCAGATTTGACAAGAGAAGGGTTTGAATTTTCACATAGGCTTCTTCCCTGTTGCTCCCTAGCTCTTACTTCCAGGGTGAGGCGATGTATAGATAGAAACATCTTAGAAGAAATTGCACTGTCAGGTCGGTTCATTTTCAAGGGAAGATTCTTTCTCATCATGGCCAATTGTATCTTCATCTCTGGACAGGGCATGGTTTGCTTTCTACCCGGGAAAAGTCTGAAGGGGACAGAAGACAGCCAGTCAGCAACAGCTCTTCCTGAAAAGCATGGCTGAGGAGAAAGAGATGTAAAGGGCTCCAAGAAATCTCCACTCTGGTTCTGAAAGGGCTTATACCAACAAGTGTTTATTTGGTAACACCTTTCTGATGCAACTAAAATCATCATAGCTGCACATACTCAGTGCTGATTCTATGTCAGGCTCATGTACTTTATAATACTGAATCCTTACAACACCCTGAGAACAGGTATTATTCATACTTTGAAATGACGAAAATGAATCTATAAGAGGCTAAATACATTACCAACATTCATATAGCCAGTTAAGTTTCAACATAAAACTCAAAGGTCATCTCACTGCAGACCGTACATTCTGCCTACCACTTATTCATAATTCACCTATGAAAAGAAGAGAGTGACAGTGCCTGCCTCCTAGTGGAAATTTCAATGAAAGTACATGTGATGTGCTTAGCACAGAGCTGGGCAAATGGTAAGCGTAATAAATGTGGTGGTTATGATGGTCATCCCTGTCTGTTGGTGAGGTAAGAGTTGCATAAACAACTGGGGTGATAGTTTTCTCCCAGCCCTACTCAGGAAGAGCACACTGTTTAGACCTGTCGCAGCTTCAGTTGAAAACAGATGCTCTGGCTCTCCTACAGACCTACACGATACTTACTCCTTCAGTAGATCCTGAGGTAATGCTTTGGATTGGGCCCACAGAGGCAGGAAATCTGATCTGAATTTTTCAGACAATTGCACTGGGGTTGGGGGAGGCACGATCATCTCTGGAGTTCCTACTCTTGTTTCTGTGGGCTGATTTCCAGAGAGACCCAGAAATGACTTGCTTTTCTGGAAGAGAAACAGTGGAAAGAATTCTCCAAAGCCCTCTTTCTGAGCCTATTCCTTCCCATCAACATTCTAGCCTCCCAGCACTACCCTGGCATGAACTCCAGCCATTCTTGCCTCCTCTGAATGATGAGGGCCACCACAATTCCTCTCAAGCTCCCAACTCTATTGTTGTATTCAGATCATACAGGGATTAGTTGTTTTGCTTCATTTTCCAGAAAAGTCATTCATTATTCACTCAACAAACTGAACAAAAATTTATTGTCTAATTATGTGTCAGTCAGGGCTAGGGATGGGGATTCAGCAATGAACAAAATGAACCAAGACACTACTCTCATGGACATAGCAGTCTTACAGCTCTGTGACTTAATCAAGGTCACATTTACCCATAAATGGTAGAATTAGAATGAGAAGCCCAGGTCTTATAACTCCTAGTCCATTGAAATTCTATCTCATCACATTGGGATTAGTTTTTAATTGACCAAAAATTCTCCCTGAATACCCAACAGTTCCTCCTGTTATCTCAAGATGCTCTTCATCTCCCTACAGGGAGGAGACAGGGAAGAGGAGTCTCTGAAGAGAGAATGGTTTGGTTAATTATTCCTAAAGAAGGGTTTTCTTTAGCAGATTCTGATAATTTAGGAAAAGAAAGGGGGTGAGGTGGAGAAGACCGGAAAGGAAAACAAAATAAAGTCTACATAGTGATACAAAGGTCTGCACAAAAACATCAAACTCACCACTGCCAAGTTCTTTTTCTTCTTCCCATGCTGGCTGGAGAAAACAAAACAAAACATGCTTCTCAGCTGGACTTGAAATAAGAATAAGCACAACTTATTCCCAGATCTTAAACAGAAGTTCCAAGGTTGTGAATGATGACCACAAAGATTCCTAGCTCTAATCAGTGCTCAAAGACAGCTGGTTAGGAGCCCAGCAGTACCTGTTGCCGAAGTACCTTCTGCTAGAAAGAGCCCCCAGCCTCCTATCTAAATTAGGTTTCCCATCATTCTCTCAGCCAATCCAGTTATCTGCTTTCATAACGTGAAACCAAATTAGAAATGATCTATGTAGCTGTGGTTTTGTCTGTAATGTCTAACTCCCCCTGACAAGGCTCCAATAGGACAGGGACCAAATCTATATGGTTCTCCACTAAATCCTCAATGCTTGAGACAGAGAGGTTGTGTAAAAAGTATTTTATGGCTGGGCATGGTGGCTCATGCCTGTAATCCCAGCACTTTGCCAAGGCAGGCAGATCATCACAAGGTCAGGAGTTGGAGACCAGCCTAGCCAACATGGTGAAACCCTGTCTCTACTAAAAAAAATACAAAAATTAGGCAGGCATGATGGTGTGTGTCTATAATCCCAGCTACTTGGGAAGCTGAGGCAGGAAAATTGCTTGGACCCGAGAGGCAGAGGTTGCAGTGAGCCGAGATCACACCACTGCACTCCAGCCTGGGTGACAGAGCAAGACTCCATCTCAAAAAAAAAAGTATTTTATTGCTCTCTCCTCTTCCTCCTTGCCTGGGAGATGGATATGATAGCTGGAGTTCTAGTAGCCAACTTAGACATTAAAAGCACCCATGAGGTCAGGAGCAGTGGCTCATGCCTGTAATCCCAGCACTTTGGGAGGCCAAGGCGGGCAGATCATAAGGTCAGGAGATTGAGACCATTGTGGCTAACATGATAAAATCCCATCTCTACTAAAAAAAAAAAAAAAATACAAAAAATTAGCCAGGCATGGTGGTATACGACTGTAGTACCAGCTACTCAGGAGGCTGAGGCAGGAGAATCACTTGAAGCCACTGCACTCTAGCCTGAGCAACAGCACAAGACCCCATCTCAAAAATAAATAAATAAATAAAAGCACCCATGAAATTCCTTAGAAGTTAGAATCCATGGGCTAAGGATGATGGCCCAGAAAGCTAGAAGGAGCTCCGGTTTCTAATTGTCTCATGGAGCTCACATGCCCTAGGCCTGCCTACTTCTGAGCTTCTTTCACATGAAAGGAAATAAACCCATAGGGTTGTTTTTCATTTGTTTATACCATATACATACAAAAATGCGTGTGTGTGTGTGTGTGTGTGTGTGTGTGTGTGTGGTGAGTGAGAGAGAGAGAAGCATTCACAGGATCATTTTTTAAAAAGAAAAAAATGAAATAAAAAGAAATTCTTAAGTTTCATCATTTCTAAATGTCACTTAAGAATCAGATCTGTGCCCCACTCTGCTTGGCCCTGCCCAAAACAGCCTCAAGGATCAGGAAAGAAAAACCAAACACTTTCCCCATGCTTGTCAATATCAGCAAGACCTTTGGGCCTTCACCAAATGATCTTTGTCATGCACTGTTTTGTACACAAGTCCTGTATGCTATTGCTTCTGTACACTGTACTAGGCCCGGGGGTTGAGATCAGAGATTCACATGCTTCACTGAGAACTTTTTCACTTGTTCCAAGTGACTAAAAAGAAAAATTGAGGGAGTATTTATTCCTTAGTCAAGCCTTATAAATAAGTTGGACCTTATCTTGTATGCTAGTTACTGCCATGTAAAATTTGATATGGCAAAGTCCCATAGCATGAATCTCAAAACACATTACATTAAAATTCCAGTATAGCAAAAAGTAGATGCAAGTGACCATGACCTTCTCTGCTTGGCCTCCTGCTACTTGCAATGAGCTGGCTAAAAGAAAGATCACAAAAAGGAGGCCTGCAGAAGACAGCAGGTATTTACAGAATCAAAGGCCTCTGAGTTCCAGATATGATACTCACCTCACATGTATCTCTGTTTCTTCTGGGATCCACAGTACAACCATATTTCTTTCAGGGGAGGGAAGTTGCGTCTCATTCAAATTCAACACTGGCAGCTAAGAGAAAGATATAAAACCAATGTATGGCTTCAGGTGCTAGGCTCCTTTATCAGATTAAGAATATGCTAAGCAAAGCGCTTGGTGGCACAGAAGATGATTTAAGTTTTCCATCTCCAAGACACCTTTATAATATTCTCCCAAAATAAAAAAAAAAAAAAAAAAGACTACTCCATCAAATATCAGTATAGGTATCTGTAAGAATGAGTATTAATAAGCAAACAATCTCCCCTGCTTCCCTGTGCCATTGGGTTAGCATTTAGCTACTCCTAGTCAGACCCCATATAAGGGTGCCCTGGGGCTCAAGGAAACCTTAAAAATCACCTATTCCATACTCCTGGGAAGATACACACAGAAAAAAGCTATTAAAAATAAGGTTGTCCCTGTGAAGAGGAACTGATTGACTTGGAGGTAATAGGAGAGACTCCTTTTCATTATAAATCCTTTAACGCTTTTTGAATTTAAAAATCATGCTCAGACTGGCACAGTGGCTCATGCCTGTAATCCCAGCACTTTGGAAGGCTGAGGCAGGCAGATCACAAGGTCAGGAGATATATATACATATAAATATATATATATATATATATATATATATATATATATATATAATGTTCATACATTATCTATTCAAATAATTTAACTTAAAATAATTTAATCTAGGCCAGGCATGACAGCTCATGCACTTTGGTAGACCAGGGAAGAGGACTGCTTGAGCTGGGCATTTGAGACCAGCCTGGGCAACATAGTGAGACCCTGTTTCTTTCTTTTTTTTTTATGAGACAGAGTCTCACTCTGCACCTGGCTGGAGTGCAATGGCACAATCTCAGCTCACTGCAACCTCTGCCTCCTGGGTTCAAGCGATTCCTGTACCTCATCCTCCCAAGTAGCTGGGACTACAGGTGTGCACCACCACACCTGGCTAATTTTTTTCGTATTTTAGTATAGACGGGGTTTCACCATGTTGGTCAGGATGGTCTCGATCTCCTGACCTTATGATCCGCCCACTTCGGCTTCCCAAAGTGCTGAGATTACAGGTGTGAGCCACCGCGCCCAGCCTATGAGATCCTATTTCTACAAATTTTTTTTAATTAGCCAAGTGTGGTGGTGTGTGCCTGTAGTCCCAGCTACTCAGGGGTCTGAGGCAGGAGGATGGCTTGAATTCAGGCATTTGAAGCTATAGTGAGCCATGATCATACCACTGCACTCCAGCCAGGGTGACAGAGAAAGACTCTGTCTCTTAAAAAATAATAATTATTATTTAATCTAATCCTCTTATTCTAAAGAAGACATAGAAGTAAAGTGATTAGTTAATTCATCCATTCAAAACCATCTATCATCTCAGTTCCTTATACTCTCCATTCCACATGATACTGAAAAGTGAAGCATCTCATGAAAAAAATAAAAGGCATCCAGTAGGACTGCAAAGAATAGTAAATCTCTCTTTACTGTAGGTAAGTAGGATTTTTTCTTCCTAAAGCTCTAATTCAGCTCTACCCCCAACTAGCTGTGTGCTTTGGCACATCACTTCTCATCTCAGTTTCCTCCCCTGAAGGATATATAAAATAGACCACAGTAGCGTTCTTCAAATTGCAATTGAAACTTATTCTTAGGTCATAAAATCAAATTCTATGAATCACAGACCACATTGTTTAAAAATGAAATAGAATAAAACAGAATAGGACAGAAAACATTAGGGTACATCACTCATAGCTAAGGTAAGGATTGTTCCATGATATTTTTATTGTAAAATCTTTTTCTTACTGTAGATCATAGCTAAAAAGTTTGCAAGTCATCAGATTAGATGACCTTAAGGCCTATTTAGGTCTGACATTCCAGTATTCCAGTTTCCCTGATTATTAAATGACAGTATTTAATGAGCTGAACATGTTCTACGCAAGACAGAAACAGAAAATTCTCACCTACACCAAACCTGCACAAATCAATCCCACTTACTTCTAGGATTTCTGAAGACATGTAGATAGCAGAGTCTAGCATATAAGCCCAATATTAGACAGTTACTATCAACATTACTATTCAGATTATAGTCTTCCTGAGGAATAATTTCAAATAAAAGCAAAATAGTTTATTTCCACTAGTAAAGAAAAAATGTTGAGGAAGTACCATTTAAAACCTGTGACTTACTTTGAGAAGTCCATTAGCACAGTTGATCAAACTTTTGTCAGGTAAACCCCTTGGAGGCCTAAAAAATGAGTTCCACACATAAAACAGAAACACAAAAGGCTTATTGGAATGACAAAGTTAGTGCTACGAGGAAAACCTTTTACTTATCTACAGAAAACCTTGGGCTTAATGCTTACTCAATGCATGGAGGGTCTCATCATAACTTTAAGTTTTGTTTGTTTGTTTGTTTTTCCTGAAACAGCAACTAAACAGACATTGCACGCTGCAAATACTTCACAACTATTTGTTCCATCAAAATGGAATTCAGAGCCTTCTCTTCCCTCCAGCTAGAGACAGTTATATCACCATCAATAAAAGTTTATTAAGAACCTTTTATGTAGATGCTCAAAATATGTTAAATAAACAAAATGCATTATACACATACAATATCATTCAGCTTTAAAAAGTCAAGAAATTCTGATACGGTAGACCTTTAACCATGGTTCCACTTATTCATAGTCAACTATGGTATGCAAATAGGTGAGCACCTACAAGTAAGGTATTTTGAGAGAGAGAGAGCACAAGAGACCACATTCACACCATGAGTTTTTATTACAGCATATTATAATTGTTCTATCTTATTGTTGTTAATCTCTTACTGTGCCTAACTTATAAACTTTACCATAGGTATGTATGTATATGTAAAAACTTAGTAAATAAGGGTTTGGTACTATTCACAGTTTCAGGCATCTAGTGGGGGTCTAAGAATATATTTCCTGCAAATAAGGAGGGACTACAGTATATACTACAACACTGGAAATATTATAGTAAGCGAAATAAGCCAGACACAAAAGGACAAATGTTGTGTGATTCCACTTATATGAGATACTTAGAACAGACAAGTTCATTAAGACAGAAAATAGAATAGAGATTACCCGGGGCTAGGAAGAGGAGGGAACGGGGAGTTGCTGTTAATGGATACAGTTTTTGTTTGGCATGATGAAAACATTCTGGAAATGGATAGTGGTGATGGATGTACGTTATGAATGTACTTAATGCTAATGAATTGTTCACTTAAAAATGGCTAAAATGTTCCATTTTTGTTATGTATGCATTTACCACAGTAAAAAAAAAAACAAAAAAAAAACCTCATATCCTTATATTTTCTTATCACTTGCTATATTTCTTATTTTTTAAAAGACATGTTACATGCATGGATAAATGAATAATGTAAAGAGGTAAATGATAAAGACCTTTAGGAATGATAGTAAGAGGAGTTTAAAAAAAAATAATATATAAAGACCTAACACTCAGCCTGATTGCCTGATTTATGAAGTCCTACATGACATAGGTTCCTGCCTCCCGTCCAGCTCCCCAGCCTTCTCTTTGATCACTCTTCCATTCCTGCTCTATGTTCTAAGCACAATGAACTATTTTCCTGATACAGACAGAACTTCCTCTTGTCTCTAAGCCTTTGCATATGCTATCCCTATGGTTTAGAACACTCTTCCTGCCTACCCTCCACCTACAATCCCCACTTCACTAGGTAGACAGCTCAGACTTCTGGTCTAGGCACAGAGCCACTTACACAGAAGACAGTGCCCTTGCTTGGGAACTCTTTCTGGTGTTCCCACAAACCCACGGGGCAGTCCTCTCATGACACTCATCATACGGCCTGCCTATTTCTTTGCCTCCCCAACTAGGCTGAAAGTCCCTTGAGGGCAAAGACTGTATGTTGTTTACTGTTGTATCCCCAGCATTCATCACAGTGGCCCCGACTAAAATATAGTTGTGAATTGAATGACTAAATGTCATGGTCCCTGCCTTCAAAGGGCCTAAAATCCAGTTGGACAAACAGGACATAAACATAAAAATATCAATAAGCATGCCAGGGACTGTAAGTGCTGGGGTAGTTTGGAAGAGAGAACATCCAAGGCTAGTGGGAAATGAGGAAACTCAACCCTGGCAGAAGAAAAGGATATATTCTCTCATTCAACAAATACTTACTGTGCTTCCACTGTATGTCAAGCATTGTTGAAGAAATAGGAGACAGAGCAGCCAACAAAACAAACTCACTTTCTCCCTACGAGAGAGTCCCTGCTCTTGTAGGGACTGACTTTCTCATGAGAAGTGGCAAATGAATCAACAAAAATCATTTGAGATCAGAAGAACTGAGGAAAAAGGATGCTTGGTTAAATGATAATGAGGGTATAGGGAAATTTTAAACAGATTGGTCAAGGAAGATTTCTGTGAAAAAGCAACATTTAAGCTTAAACTCGAATGACCAAAAGGAATTAGCTGGAAGGATCTAGGGCAGTATTTCCCAACCAGGGGGCAATTTTGCCCCCAGGGGACATCTGGCAATGTCTGAGGCATTTCTGGTTGCCATAACTGGAGGTAGGGTACTACTAGTATTCAATGGGTAGAGGTGAGGGAAGTAGCTAAAATCAGATAATGCACAAGATACCTCCAAAGGACAAAGAATTATCTTGGCCAAAATGTCAATAGCATTTAAAAAAATAATAATAACCTAATTGGGGGGAAAACTGTTTCACTCAGAGGAAACAGTAGGTGCGTAAGCCCTGGGGTGGGAGGTGTGGAGTATATGAGGAATTCAGGGAACAGAGTGGCCTGAACCTATTAAACAAGGAAGGGAGAAATGTGAGATGAGGGCCGTTAGGAAGGCTGGATCTCATAGGGCCTTACAGGCCAGGCCAGGCACTTAATGAAGCAGACAGGAGGAAAGAAGGCCTTTAAGGGTAAGGAAACTGCATGAGCAAAGTGTCAGAGACAGAAAATCACAATCAGAAAACCAGTCTGGCATAGAGGAAAAGTTGGTGTTCAAGAAGAGAGGACTCTGATTAGATAAGCCAGATAGTAAAGAGCGAGGCCACCAGTTTAGAGTCGGGAGGTTTGGGTCTGTTCTCTAGTAAACAAAGTGCTGATGAAGGAGATTTTCAAGCAAGGAAATGAACGAAGCAATATTTTTGGAAGATTAATCTGTTGGCCACATGCAAAACAGCTTCAAGGGGAAAAGGCAGGGAAGACAAATTGGAAGCCACTGCAAACACCCACCATGTCATGAGGTACTGGTCTCCAATAGAGAGCGTGAAGCACAAAGCAAGACACACCGAAGGAAGAAGGCATGGGAACAGGGAACTGAGTAGAGGAGGCAGCTCTCTCACAGCTCTGCACTACACACGGCGGGCAGGCAGGGGCGGAGTGTGTCTCTGGGTGTGAATGTGAAGCACATCATAGGTCCTGACTGAGAAACACCCCTGTTTATCCAGAGTTCAAGTCCTAGAGAACCTGAAAATAGTCATACTCCTTCCTATACTATCGTCAGCCTAAGATAAATCATCAGGGGCTACTTAAATGGAACAGGAGAAAAGAAACTACAAGAGCCACCACTGGTGCTTTGATTCCAGGTAACAAAGTATTTGAAGTTTTTAACTCTAAGTTTTCCACAAATACCTGTCCCTTAGTTTCGTGTATCAGCAAGCACTCATTGGGTACCTAGGAGACTCAAGAAAAGGAGAAAAAAAAAAGCCACTGCTTCTTCCTTTAGTAGCTTATAGTTTCATACCTAAAAATAAAATATTATTATAGAAAGACAGGGGCCGGGCACAGTGTCCCACGCCTGTAATCCCAGCACTCTAGGAGGCTGAGGTGGGTGGAATGCTTTGAGCTCAGGAGTTCTAGACTGGCCTGGGCAACACGGCAAAACCCTGTCTATATAAAAAAAAGAAAAATTAGCTGGGCGTGGTGGTGCGTGCCTGTGGTCGCAGCTACTCGGGAGGCTGAGACTGGAGAATCGCTAGAACTTGGGAGGCGGAGGTTGCAGTGAGCCAAGATCATGTCATTACACTCTAGCCTAGGTGACAGAGTAAGACCCTATACCCCACCAAAAAAAAAGAAATAGAAAGACAGGGTTGGGCATGGTGGCTCACACCTGTAATCCCAGCACTTTGGGAGGCCAAGGTGGGTCGATCACTTGAGGTCAGGAGTTCAAGACCAGCCTGACCATCATGGAGAAACTCCGTCTCTACTAAAAATATAAAACTCAGCCAGGTGAGGTGGTACATGTCTGTAATTCCAGCTACTTGGGAGGCTGAGGCACAAGAATTGCTTGAACCTGGGAGGCAGAGGTCGCGCCACTGGACTCCAGCCTGGGTGACAGGTGAGATTCTGTCTCAAAAAAAGAAAAGAAAACAGCATACATATAGGGACAGTTTTCTGATCTACAGACGCTGATAAGATGGGCTGAATTGTCTCCTCCCAAAATTCATCTGTTGAAGTCCTAACTAGTACTTCAGAATTCGACGGTATTTGGAGACATGGTCTTTAAAAAAGTAATTAAAGTAAAAATGAAGTCACATGGGTGGGCCCTCGCTCAGTAAGACTGGTGTCCTTGTAAGAAGAAATTAAGACACAGACACACGGAGGGAAGACCATGTTAAGACATAGGGAGAGGGGCCCGGTTGGTGTCTTATGTCTGTAACCCCAACAATTTGTGAGGCCAAGGCAGGTGGATCACTTGAGGCCAGGAGTTCAAGACCAGCCCAGGCAACAAAGCAAGACCTCATCTCTAATAAAAGTAAAAAAAATTAGCCAGGCATGTTGGTGCACACTTGTAGTCCCAGCTACTTGGGAGGCCGAGGTGGGAAGATCGCCTGAGCCTGGATAGTTGAGGCTGCAGTGAGCTATGATCACACCACTGCACTCCAGTCCACCCTAGGTAACAAGGTGGGACCCTGCCTCAGGAAAAAAGGAAATAAATAAAAAAGACAAGGGGAAAAAAATTATCATCTACAAACCAAGAGCGGCCTCAAAAGAAAACAGTCTTGCCAACACCTTGATATTGACTTCTAGCCTCAAGAATTATAAGAAAATTAATTTTGCTGTTTAAGCCACCCAGTCTATGGTATTCTGTTACGACAGCCCTAGCAAACCAATATACCTCCCAAATCAACCAATTCCTAGAGCACAAACAGAGTTTCTTTCTGTTTCCTACTGCCTGTTCACCAGTTCTTTAACCAAACTGGTGTTTTTAATCTGGCTTTCTTAAAGTATACTACATGGATAAGGAAAATCATAACCCAGAATTTTGAGACAATCAGCTGTTACAGGAAGATTCCGTGATAATTTACCTGCCTTGAAATTTGGAGTAAAATTTTGAACTCTGAGACAATAAAGAACGGGTCTTAGTAAAGGTACATTCTGGTAAATGACGAGGTGCAAAGCAAGAATCTGGGATGTTTACCACGGTGAGCACTGGGAGTTTATCTGAAGAGGCAGATCAGAAGAAAGGGTGTTAATATGCTGCGAGGAGAAAGGAAGCCACATACATGAACAGATTAAGAACCTTGTAAGGGAGAGGACAGAAGCTGGTTAATTCACCTTCAGCATCCTGGGGAGTTCTGCAGGGTGAGCTGAGGATTCGAGGATGGCCCCTCTCAATGCGGCGGATAGTTGCCCAGCATTGTGGATGCTGACAAACAGCCAAGCCACAGGTGGTTTCATCCCACTGGCTCTCATCTGGCAAGTCCATACCTAGAAACGGTTTAGGACAAAGGCCAACCCTGCAGCATTCTAGTCCTCTGGAAAATCAACCACCACATAATTGAGGAGTATTATACATTAACCATACAGTCCAGATCTTAATTTGAACTCAAAGTAGAAAATATTTCTATTGAACCTACACAGGTAAATGATGACCACAAAATTAAAGATTGGGTGACAAGGAAGTATGGAAATATCTCAGCATGAGGTAGAATGACAAGAGTTGAGAGCATAATGACTTCAGGTCTCCTAATTGGCTCTTTAACAACGGAGTGACCTGGGACTTAACCAGTCTGAGTCTCTTGCCTCAACTGTAAAATGAGGATAAGTTTATTTCACAGGGTCATTACTAAAATTAGTTAATGGATAGTAAAAGCCTGGCATATTGTTCCAAATAAATATTTGCATCCTTTCATTTTCCCTTTCGTTAGTTATCAGGGAGAAGATGCCACCATCTCCAAAACACATTATCAAATTATGAACAGAGTAGTCACAGAGCATCTTAGAAGGCCCACACTCCTGAAAGATATGCTTCATTTTCCAATGCGCTTCGGTTCCCATGAAGGCAGATCAAATCCCACCAGCCATGAATGTGTTTGATCAAAGAGCAAATCACTAGACACTCCCAGTTGCATCAGAGGCCATTAGTTTTTCATTTATTGGCCATACGGCCTTGGACAAGTGACTTCACATCTCTCTCTCAAGTAGGAGGAGGGGTCCTGGCTTGGTGGCTCAGGTCAGTAATCACAGCACTTTGGTAGGCCAAGGTGTTACCCCCTCTCTACAAAAAATAATAAATAAAATAAGCAGAAGGAGGGGAATCCCTAAAGACTGCAGAAGGATTAAATGAGATAATGTACTTTTACGGATGGGAGGTGCTTAATAAATATATTTATCTTTTCCTTTCTAGAGGTGTTTTAGGCAATCACCAACTACCACTTTATCCCTAAGAACTTTTTAAGGATGGTGTCCATTTCTTTCTTTCATCCAACACATTTACTGATTACTAAATATGTGAGGGGACCTGCTTTGGACATGAACAGTAATGAACAAACTCCTTGTTCTAAACAGTTTGTAATTTAGATCAAAGATAAACTATCAGCCTGGGATTGCACCTGGCCTATGACTTGTTTTGTTTGGCTGGCACCTTGAACCTATCTTAAAATTGAAATAGCCCAGTGTCCGGATTTCTGGCTCCTTTTAGGGACCAAAGTACTTGGCAACACGGGGGCCACTTCCAGCTGAATAGCAGTTGACTAGCGCTGAGAAGCTCGATGTTTTCAGTCAGGTCTGTTCTATCCAAACGGAATTCCCCCACCAGACCTTATGGTCTCTAATTGAAGCACTTTTAGTTGCCATTTATCACAGCATTTGCTCTTTTGTTTTTAAATATTTCTCTGTAAACAGGCCTCTATTGAAAGCAGGAAAACTAATGGGAGACTTGAGGCTGCATGCTTGAAGGGAAAAGAGCAGCATTAATTCTCTGTCGGGGAGGCTGGGCACGGTGGCTCATGTCAGTAATCCCAGCACTCTGGGAGGCTGAGGGCGAATCCCTTGAGCCCTGGAGTTCGAGACCAGCTGGAGCAACATGGTGAAACTCTCTATGAAAAATTAAAAAAAATCAGCTGTGTGATGGAACGCACCTGTAGCCCCAGCTACCTGAGCCCGGGAGGTCGAGGCTGCAGTGAGCCCAGACCGTGCCGCCGCACTCCAGCCTGGGCCAAAGTGAGATCCTGTCCAAAAAAAAAAAAAAAATCAGTAGGACTGAGAATTTCTAGGTACTTAATATGAAAATGACTTGAAAACAAAACGCCATTGCAAACCTAGAGAATGGTTTTAATTGGAAAAATGTATGATGAACAATTAACTGAAAAATAAAAACAATTTTAACAAGGTTTGTTTTTGAAAGCGAAAGTGATGTTGTATTTTTCTTACAACGAAAAAGCTGCATCTCGCCCTTTCGTTACCTGCCCAGCCCGAATTAAATCCAGAGCCTAATCAGGCGCATCTCTATATAGCCAGCATTATCCCTGGGCTCCCTAAATAGTTCGCGTTAAAAACAAACAACCAAAAACACTTAAATAACACTCAAGATTCTTAGTACCATCGTTACGAAGGTATGAGATGCGAAAAGATTAGAAACCAACATCAACTTCTGTAGCGATGGAAAAAGACTGCCCGTTTCATTCCAGGAAAGAAAAAAAAATTGGGAGACTCTCACCACGCGGGGCTGAGGTCTTGCAAGAGCAAAGCAGATTCGAAACCGCTTAGGGTTGCGAAGCCAAGTGGAAAAACGCAGCCCCATGCGGCGTGAAGAGTAGGTTAACGGAGCGGGCCCCCTAGAGCCCTCCTCCGGGTCTAAGAGGACCCGCCCAGCCGAGTCAGCCACGCCTTCGTCTCCCGCGCGCTATGCCCCGCCCGCGCCGTCGCCAAGCAGCGGCGCAGAGCACCATGGGAAGGGGACGGAAGCTCCATTGGGCCCTATTAAGGTGGTGCGAAGCTTCCCGACGCGGCGAAGGCGAGAAGCAGAGAAACTGACCTGCAGATGGACGTGCGGGGTGCACTGGTGTTGGATGAAGCCTCGATGGGCCAAAACCACTGAGGCTTCAAAGTCTGGATGCGCCGGCATTTGAGGCGGAGGCGGGGCTGGGAAAGGAGGGAGGTTATGGCGCGCGGGGCACAGTGAGACACTGTGGGACACGTGGGGCGGGACGGAAGCCCGAGTGGGTCAGACCGTAGCGACGCGGGAAGTCCGGACGCAGTAGCTGCCTGAAGCGGAGGCGAGGGGGAGGCTCAGCCCCAGCGGCGGCAATGGCGGAAAGGCCAGAGGACCTAAACCTGCCCAACGCTGTCATCACCAGGATCATCAAGGAGGCGGTGAGCAGCTCGGGGGGGCGGACGAGCGGGCAGGAGGGAAGCAGGTCCTGGACCGGCAGCTTTGCTTATCCCCGGTCTCCTCGCAGCTCCCGGACGGTGTCAACATTTCTAAGGAGGCCCGGAGCGCCATCTCTCGCGCCGCCAGCGTCTTCGTGCTGTACGCCACATCCTGGTGAGCCGGGCAGAGGCGTAAGGGAGGTGCGGGGATACCTGGCTGGGAGTTCCTGACCGGGAGCCCACAAACCCCAACGATTGTGTCCTCTTTCGGTGGGGAGAAGTTCACAGTCCTCTGCCAATTCTTACAAGTTCTGAAGCAAAAAAACAACAAAATGACTTTGCTTTAGTTTTTTTGTACGGAGAAGGGAAGGACTTAACCCTGTCACACCAAAACCCTGCATGTGAGAGGCAGGCTTTCCCGTCCCTGGGTGCTCCTTTTCCCACCCACTCCTTACGCGCAAGAGGGAGCCTGACAGCCTTTCTCTTCTCCCAGTGCCAACAACTTTGCAATGAAAGGAAAGCGCAAGACGCTGAATGCCAGTGATGTGCTGTCAGCCATGGAAGAGATGGAGTTCCAGCGGTTCGTTACCCCATTAAAAGAAGCTCTAGAAGGTAACAAGCCTCCTGTCTTCTAAACCACACAGAAGATGGTCCTTCTGTGTGACCTGTTCATCCGGCCCTGAGCCTTTCTGAGCGTGGGTCCCTTTAAGTCCAGTAAGCCAGCACTTGATGTGACTCAACCCAGTTCAGTGGGCACCACAGAGTCTTGCCCTATCACCCAAGCTGGAGTGCAGTGGTGGGATCTCGGCTCACTCCAGTCTCCTCCTCCTGAGTTTAAGCAATTCTCTTACCTCAGCCTCCCGAGTAACTGAGACTACAGGTGCACACCACCATGCCCAGGTAATTTTTGTAATTTCGTAGAGACAGGGTTTCACCATGTTGGCCAAGCTGGTCTTGAACTCCTGACCTCAGGTATCCACCCACCTTAGCCTCCCAAAGCATTGGGATTACAGGCATGAGCCACTGGGCCCGTCTGCCTCCGTTTTTCCAATTGTACAATGCAGTTAGCTGCTGCAGTCTGTCGGACTCACTCTTTCAGCTCTGTCTCCTAACACCTTCTTTCCTCCTTACAGCATATAGGCGGGAGCAGAAAGGCAAGAAGGAGGCCTCAGAACAAAAGAAGAAAGACAAAGACAAAAAAACAGACTCTGAAGAGCAAGACAAGAGCCGGGATGAGGACAATGATGAAGACGAAGAAAGACTGGAAGAAGAAGAACAGAATGAAGAGGAGGAAGTAGACAACTGAATAGGGTGGGAGACTGTGGCACCTTGGAAGGTACTACTTGAGATGTGATGTGCTACACGTTTCTATGAAGCTTTTCCATGTGGGACAGAGCAGTCTCAGGCAGAAGTGCCTGAAAAGGTCAGAATAAAAACTGGCTAGAAATACCATCAAAACCAGCACTTCCCAAACTCAGAGCATCTGAGTAGCAGAACCCTGTTTTGCTTTATCAATCTGAAGGTTATGACTTTTTGACAAGAGGGATTCTGAACAGCTAAATGAATCCGTTCGATCACTTTTGGTTACTTATATGTATGGTTAGGTGGTTTTTGATCCACAGTCTTCCTCATTGCCCCACGTAAGTAATAACTTCCATGCTGCCTGCTGCGTTTCAGATCTCAGAGGCAGCCAAGGCTCAGGAAAAATTGGGGCTTTGCTTATGGTCAGCCTGTGTTTGATTGCACAGTCTTTGACAATAATAGCTTACTAAGACTGGTCAGAATTTGTAAGCTTTAGGAAACCACTAGAATTCTGTGGAAGAATAACAAAATCTGTTCTGTCTCTTCACTTGACTGAAGCATTAACTGAAGTTTGTTTTTCATAGACCCACTAGGCTCAAAACCTTTCTGTATTGCCTGTAGATGTTTGACCTGCTGGGTGGTGGTAATCTGGTAACAAATGTTCTTAACTTTGCAGTATAGAATGGTATCAGTCAAGCCAGGGTGCCAGTGTCTTACTTTTACAAAAACAGATGGCGTAGTGTTAGATGTACCTTCTGTTGGCTACTGTACAGCTTTAGGATTTGTCATCACCTCCTGGAAGGTGTAAAACCCCAGGCTTCCTCTTCTTGTAGTCCATCTCCCAGACTTGTGACTATGGCTTTTCATTCTTCAATTCATGATGAGTTCCAAACTATTTCCTTTTGTCACAGCTTTCTCCCCCTGCGGTCTTGTTTCCTTTCTGTCTTCTGCCTCTCCTCTGCTCCCCGTCCCACTTTCTCCTCTCCCTCCTTTTCTCACTTCTGTCAGTCTAGGAGCTTTGATTACCTGCTTCATACTCCAAAGTGTGAGTTCCTCTGATCTCTTGATTACTTAGTTCTAATTTCATGGTTTTTTTGTTTTGTTTAAGAGATGGGGTCTCACTCTGTGGCCCAGGCTGGAGTGCAGTGGCATGATCTGCATCCTTGAACTCCTGGGCTCAAGTGATCCTCCCCGCTGAGCCTCCTGAGTATCTGGGACTACAGATGTGTGCCACCAAGCCTGGCTAATTTTGTCTCATGTCTTCTAAAAATTACTTTGTGATTGTGAAGCCCCTCTGAACCTTAAGGGAAATCTGATGGTGCTCAGGAATCTAACTCTCCCTAAACTGTCCTTTTGAACTGCTTCCAGAATCTCTCTGTTGGCCTTTCTTAGCCTTTTTCTGTTTCCAGTCAGTGCTCCAAGCATTTTGTGTTTGTCTCTAAGTTGAGCGCTTGGGGTTTGACAGGTAGTGACGTGTAGTTTGACACTGTTAACTTGCTAAATAAATACAGTGGAAGTTTGTGAGTGAAGAATGCTGAGAAGATTGTAATGCTTTGTACAAATAAAGAACGCTCTTGTTAAAAAAATGATGCCTCTTGTTTCATCCTGCTTGTTCATAGTGTGTTTTTGGAGAGAACTCCTGATGATACTCTCCATGCAGTTTTTGGGGTATGGACTTGGTGAGACCTTTGTAAACATGAGATCCTGCATCGCCTTGGATGACCAGCAGGTGCTGCTCACTCACAGGCAAGGGCTCTGAACTGCAAAAGCGTTTTTTTGTTTTTTGGGTTTTTTTGTTTGTTTTGAGACAAGAGTCTCAATCTGTCGCCAGGGCTGGAGTGCAGTGGTGCGATCTCGGCTCACTGCAACCTCCACCTCCCAGGTTCAAGCGATTCTTCTGCCTCAACCTCCCGAATAGCTGGGATTACAGGTGTGTGCCATCACACCCAGCTAATTTTTATATTTTTAGTAGAGAGAGTTTCACCACGTTGGCTAGGCTGGTCTTGAACTCCTGACCTCAGGTGATCTGCCCGCCTCGGCCTCCCAAAGTGCATGAGCCACCACACCTGCTGCAAGAGTTTTTGATGGATCTGCTGGGCACCTGTACATACTAGATTCTCAGCAACTTCATTTGGTAAGCCCCTACTGTGTCGCACTATCTTAATGCTTTCAAGTATTAACCTTTTTTACTTTTCTTTTTTTTTTCATTTGAGACAGGGTCTAGCTATGTTGCCCAGGCTGATCTCAAATTCCTGGGCTCAAGCAATTCCCCTGCCTCAGCCTCCCAAAATACTGGAATTATAGGTGTGAGCCACCACACCCAGCCTCAAGTATTAACTCTTAGACCCTATTAAATAGCACTGCTGTTACCTCTATTATCTCTTAACCACAGTGCTATATTACCTATCTAATTTACATAGCTTTTTTTTTTTTTTTGAGACAAGAGTTTTGCTCTGTCGACCAGGCTAAAGGGCAGTGGTGCAATCTCTGCTCACTGCAACCTCTGTCTCCTGAGTTCAAGCTATTCTCTTGCCTCAGCCTCCCAACTAGCTACCATTACAGGCCTGCACCAGCACACCTGGCTGATTTTTCTATTTTTAGTAGAGACGGATTTCACCATGTTGTCCAAGCTAGACGAGAACTCCTGACCTCAAGTGATCTGCCCACCTTGGACTCCCAAAGTGCTGGGGTTATAGGCATGAGTCACCGTGCCCAGCCAAATCTACATAGCTTTTTCAAATCATAAATTTATAAATAACATTTCACAAAGATACAACATGGCCCTTCATGTCCAGAGATTCTGATTTGGATTTGGGAGTGGGGAGGGGGAAGGCTGGTCTTGAACTCCTGACCTCAGGTAATCTGCCTGCCTCGGCCTCCCAAAGTGCTGGATTACTGGCGTGAGCCACCACACCCGGCCAAAAACGGTTAATTATATGTTCTTTGAATTTCATCTTAATCTTAAAAAGTGAGTTCACTAGATGCAATGTGGGATTCTGGGTTGGCCCCTGTAATCGAAAAAGGACATAAGTAGAGAAACTGTTGAAATATAAAAAGCTTATTTAAAAAAGTAGGAGCAAGGCCAAACATCATTGGAACAGGATCCCAGTTTTCGTAAATTAGTGATAAGATCTTGAGCAAGTCACTTCTCTCTTAAGAACCTCAATTTTCTATCAGTAAAAATAGGAGGTAAGGCTGCAATAGCAGCTTTGAATGGGTTGGGCCATGGTTAAAAATGCCTGAAACATTGTCCGGAGTGGTGGCTCAGGCCTGTAATCCCAGCACTTTGGCAGACTGAGGGGGATGGATCATGAAGTCAGGAGATCAAGATCATTCTGGCCAACATGGTAAAACCCCATCTCTACTAAAAATACAAAAATTCCAGGCGTGGTAGTGCACACCTGTAATCCCAGCGACTCAGGAGGCTGAGGCAGGAGAATCGCTTGAACCCGGGAGGCGGAGGTTGCAGCGAGCTGAGATCGTAACGCTGCACTGCAGCCTGGGTGACAAAGGAGGACTCTGCCTCGGAAAAAAAAAAGAAAAAAGTGAGACATGACCTTAGCCTAGTAAGGAATTTGAAAAGTCTAGATACCACTCTAGTAATGATAGAGGCGTGGTGGGGAAAAACTGGTGGATGACGTCAAAGATTTTTCCCAGTTGTTAAATTCTGTAGTTTTAAAGTCATACTCCCTATTCTCAGGAAACAGTCCAAGTTTGGTGATGAATGGGGCAGAATTAACTAAAGCTGTTTGGAAGGAGAGTTATTTTGTGGATTGTTAACTAGAGCACACAGCCTTGTTAGAGAGTGACAGGTTAAAATAGGTAGCAGGGTAAGCCCTTCTCATGCAGGCTTTGAATAATAGGTTTAAGTATAGATTTGATTTAATAGGAAACAGGAGAGTCTGTAACCCAGCAATGCTCCAGAAAGATCCACGTGCCAAGTAATCATACAGAGAAAAGCTAGGGGAAGCAGAGATGAGGCAGGGGACTGAGCTTAAGGAAGCCACAGGAGCTGAGTAATGCTCACAGGAATTAAGAAAGGATGTTTCCGGCCGGGCGCGGTGGCTCAAGCCTGTAATCCCAGCACTTTGGGAGGCCAAGGCGGGTGGATCACGAGGTCAAGAGATCGAGACCATCCTGGTCAACACGGTGAAACTCCGTCTCTACTAAAACTACAAAAAATTAGCTGGGCATGGTGGCGCGTGCCTGTAATCCCAGCTACTCAGGAGGCTGAGGCAGGAGAATTGCCTGAACCCAGGAGGCGGAGGTTGCGGTGAGCCGAGATCGCGCCATTGCACTCCAGCCTGGGTAACGTGAGTGAAACTCCGTCCCAAAAAAAAAAAAAAAAAAAAAAAAAAGGATGTTTCTACTGTGAAGGCAAAAGATATTAGATTAATTGATGGTTCTAATTATTTTTAGTTATCAACCTCGGGGAGGGAACAGGTATCAGGAAAGAAATATTGGCCAGGGAATCTAGGAAAAAATAAATAATAATTGCCCATATGGAGCGTGGTTATTAGCAGGCATTGCAGAGAGAGCCCAGTGTAACTTGGGGCAAATTACTTAATCTAGCTGGCAATTGTTTTTCTAATCCGTAAAGTGAGAATAGTAACATTGTTACTGTCCAGATTAGACGAATGTAAAATGCACGTACTGTCCCTGACTCTTTGATACAAAGCAAGGTTAGTTCTTTTCTACCCCCTTCCTTGTTGAACACAGACCAGAACTCTAGTAGCTGGAAACTAAGCAGTGTCATATTTCTCTAGCCTTAAGCTGCTATGCCCCTTAAATTTAAAATATAAAGTATATGACAGGTTTGGGGTACAGATTTTGAGAAATAAAATCTTTTGCTAGAACTTCTGGGAGGGACTTGTACACCTGGTGCAGGAGCTCCGGGGCCCAGGGATTATGTTTGAAGTAGTGGTTCTACCAACATGTCCCTTGGTTCCAGCGCCGGTTTTGATCACCACGTGACCATTTTTCACCCGAGGGTCGGCTCTACCAAGTAGAATATGCTTTTAAGGCTACTAAGACATCAGTAGCTGTCAGAAGGAAAGGCTGTGCAGTAATTGTCATGCAGAATAAAGTACCTGACAAATGACTGGATTCCAGCACAGACTCACTTATTCAAGATAACTGAAAACACTGGTTGTGTGATGACCGGAATGACAGCTGACAGCAGATCCCAGGCACAGAGGGCACGCTATGAGGCAGCTAACTGGAAATGCAAGTATGGCTATGAGATTCCTGTGGACACGCTGTGTAAACGAACTGCAGATATTTCTCAGGCCTACACACAGAATGCTGAAATGAGGCCTTTTGGTTGTTGTATGATTTTAATTGGTGTAGATGAAGAGCAAGGCCGTCAGGCACGTAAGTGTGATCCTGAAGATTACTACCGTGGGTTTAAAGCCACTGCAGCAGGAGTCAAAACAACTGAGTCAACCAGCTTCATTGAAAAAAAGTGAAGAAAAAATTTGATTGGACATTTGAACAGACAGTGGAAACTGCAATTACATGCCTGTCTACTGTTCTATCGATTTCAAACCTTCAGAAATAGAAGTCGGAGTAGTGACAGTTGAAAATCCTAAATTCAGGATTCTTACAGAAGCAGAGATTGACGCTCACCTTGTTTCTCCAGCAGAGAGAGACTAAACACCATCCTTAGTTTACCAGATCCATGATGCCACTTAAACCTGTCTGTTTGGTAACAACAAACTAACATTATGGAGGTCCCTGGATTGAAAAAGTAACCTTTCCCGCTCCTCCGACTGTCGAAGTGGTTAGGACTCTATGTAAATAAAAACAATGCTTTTGGGAAATAAAAACAAAAATAAATATTTAAAAATCTTTTTGTTTGTTTGTTTTTAAGATAGAGTCTTGCTCTGTCACCCAGGCTCGAGTGTGGTGGCATGATCTCAGCCCATTACAACCTCCACCTCCCCGGTTCAAGGGATTCTCCTGCCTCAGCATCCCGAGTAGTGGGGATTACAGGAGCCCACCACCACGCCCGGCTAATTTTTTATATTTTCAGTAAAGACGGGGTTTCACCATGTTGGTCAGGCTGGTCTCGAACTCCAGGCCTCAAGAGATCTGCCCACCTCTGCTTCCCAAAGTGCTGGTATAACAGGCGTGAGCCACTGCACCCGGCAGAGAAATAAAACCTGAGAATAAGTTCAATGTAACCCACTAGTGTCCTCTACATTTCAAAGTCAATTTTTCAATAATCCCTGAAGGACCATGTCAAAGGCATTCCTTCACTAGGGCGATGATCCCTGATCGCTACTTTACTCATCCGATTCCTAGTTTACCCAGGCCCCATAAGCCTCACCAGATCCCTCCTGCCCCCGCACATCCTCTGCTCCAACTCCCCTACAGACCTTTGGTCCGATCTTTCACTGTACCCATCATAGGTCTGATGCCCCTATCAGACTTGGAGTTTTCCTAAATGCCCATGTCATTCACATCACATCTCTCAACTCATACATAGCACTGTCATCCCTCAGAAATTAATTACGCTGGAACAAATTTTCTCTGAAAACTTAGAAGTCTGGGGCTGAACGCAACAACTTTAAAACGCTTAGTCCGCAAAAATGGACTTCGCTAATATTGTGTTAGGCATAATGGTGCTGTTCTAATGGCTTTGACATCCAATTATTCTTTCACCAAACCATTAAGCAGCGCCAAGTTTGCCCCAGGCTGGGAAGAGGAGGGCTGTGAAATGAACCACGGGTTGTAACCGCCTTGGAGGCCAGCTCACGTCCAGTGAGCCTCCCACGCGGTTCCCGCGGCCTCTTGTGGGCTCCCTCCAGAGGTTCTGAGCACAAGCGCTGGCCCCCGGAGCGGGGAGGGGCGGGCCCGCCAGGCCCTCGACTCACCCGATTGGCCAGACCTCGGCGCGTGTGGGCGGGGCCGCGGCTGGAGCGGAGGAGCCCCCTGAAGCGAGCCTTCGGGGGGCGTGGCCTGCACGGTGGAGGGGGCGGGCCGTGGAGGAGCTGCTTCCGGGTGAGCTCCCCCGCCCGGACGTGGGCCCCGGAAGGCCAGAGCCCGAGACAGTGGTGGTGGGAGCAGCTGCCCGGAGTCCTTAGGAAGGCAGGTGAGCTGGGGCTGGACGCGGGGAGATAGCGGGCTTGGAGGGCGGCTCCAGGCGAGGCGGGGACTGTGGCATCAAGAGTCCGGCGTCACCAGATTGTGCAGTGCGCCTGAAGCCCTGGCGGTGCAGCCGTGCACAGAGTCTCGTGAAGCGTTTGTTTGGGCTTGATTGTCCCGCTCCAGCTGGGGTTGGGGACCCGGGTTCGGGGCTCCGCACCTCTTCTCTGGAGTTCACCCTCTCGGATACCGCCGGGGCAGATTCTATCGATGCAGAGCCCGAGGTGCGGGTGGTGGTTAGGGGGGTAGGGAGGTGAAAACAATTAACAGCTGCTTTGTACTAAACCTTGCTTGCCTTGGCCCATTCATTCTAACCTTCACTCCTTTCCTACAACACGGGCCCATTCATTTCTTACAACAACCCATTTCGATCGGTTCAAGTCCCCATTTACTAAATGAAGAAATTGAGGTCACACAACTAGCAAGCTATAGAACTAGGATTTGTACCCACATCTATCAGACTCCAGAGCCCACACACTTAACCATCCTGCTACCAACAGCAGCAAGGTCCAGAGTCACAGTTCACCCGGAGCTTTGCACAAGCCCAACTTGCTGGGAAGCAGATTTGATATCTGTCCTTAAAGTATGGAGGTGTCATTGTGGGCACTGAGGACTGGGCTGCTGGATACCTTGCCCCAGATCTGCCGCTGACCCACTGCGTGACCCTGGGCCTGTGTCTTCCCTTCTCTGAGCCCAGTTTCACTCTTGTTTTAGTGATACAACCAGCAAACTTTAAGAAGCCTCTTAGCCAAGATACAGGATTCTGGGAATGGCAGCTTCTCTTTCTACGTCCAGATGGCTAACCCCAGAGGAGATTAGGCTCTTCAAAGCCCCAGGACAAGGCTGGGGTCTCATTCTTCTCTTTAATCCCCGTGTCTAGCACTTTGGCAGGCCCAGAGTAGATATTAAAGAAATGTGGGTTGGCTGTATGAACACTCCGTCCCTTTTCAGAACTGACAGCCACTCTCCTGGGCCTTTGTGGGCTTTGGATTTCTCAATTCTGGCCACCTTCTACCTTGCTGGCTCCCCTGACTGCCTCCTCCCTGGTCAGTGGCAGAGCCTGCCAGGGCTGGCAGCAGGTCCTAACCCTTTGTGCCAAGACCACAGTCTCTGGAATCTTCCAACACAGTACAATATGGGACAGGAGTGGTGCATGAAGCTCTTTCTCAGCCCCTCCTGGTGGCAGCACTCAGGGCCCAACTTCAGTTACTCCCAGTTTGGGGATGTTGCCTTCCGTGGGAGGAGATACTTTCACATTAAATCTGAAACACTTCTTATCCTTCACTGTCCCCTCTTGTATGAAAGCATCCTTGACTTCCAGAGACACAGTCCCTCTCACAGCACCTGGTCCACCCCTCTACTCTGGCAGCCGGGTGGTGATTTTCTTTTTTCTCTACCACATAACCTGCTGGAAGGCAGGGACTCCACTTCAGAAATCTTGGAAAACCCTGTACCCCACAAGGGTTTGATCGCATATTCCCATCTGGGTGAGGTGCAGAAGGCACAGAGCTATGCCAGGACATCTCCTTCCAGCCCAGCCCTACTCCTAATAGTAATACAATTAGCTACATGTTTACTGTGCAGCTCTTTGATGCCAGACACCTGCCTCATCCCTATCTCTAATCTTCCCCACACCGTTGCAAGTTAGAGATATCGTGCCTGTTTTGTAGATTATGAAATGGACACTGAAAGGTCAATGACTTTGCCCAAAATTACACAGCAGAGCATAGACCAAACCTGGGGCTGTCTGACCCTGAAACATGGTTCTTTCTGCGCTGCCCTATACTCTGCGTCCCAGCAAAGCTAACCTGTTCAATGTGGGTGGGCAGAGGTGCCAGACTTCCTTGTAGCTTGTCCCTGTCTTCAGCATGGTGATGTCATAGGGATTTAAGTTGTGGTTTGCAAGCTCCCTTGATATGGGAGAAGTACCCTCCCAGTCTGAATATCTCCCAAACTCGAAGGGCCTTTTTGCAAAGTAAAACCCATCCTGGATTTGCTCTGCCAGACATGCGATTCAGGGGGTGTTTGCCCACTCCACAGACACTTAAGCACCTCCGACAATGGAATGACTCTATGGCGTAGGTATCAGGGCACTGAGCTAGAAGCCAGGAGCTGCCAGGGTCAGTTTCTAGCTCTGTATGTCACTCACTGTGTGATCTCAAACAAATCCTGTCGCCTGTCTGTACCCCATTTTCCACATTAAAATGTAAGGGATCGAACAGGATTGGCAATTTTCAAGTTTTTAATATTTTCAGCACTGACACCCGTTTCTCAAATCAAATCTCTCTCTGAACCTTAGAATTCAAAAACAGATCCAAGTGGAACTGCTGTAGTGAGACTGCTCCCTTTAACCCTGCCCCGGTCCCGGGCTCGTAGGCAGCCTGCCCCAGTGTTTCTGCTAAGCAGGAGGCAGTTGTTCCCTCAGCCCCCTAAAGGAGATGGTGAGCTGAGGCCAGTGGAATGCAGCTTTGGATTCCAGAAGCTAGCAAACAACAGAGGTTGTTTTATGGGAAGTGAATCAGAGAGATTAGACCTGTCTTCAACTTGGCAAGTCTGGCACTGAACTGACTAGACCCTAATGGCATTAAGCAAGTCACTGAACCGCTCAGAGCCTCTGTTTCCTTATCACCAAAAGTTAGGACAATTCTTGCAATGAAATGAAATGCTGCTATAAAGTACCTAGTGCTGTGCCCAGCCCAGAATGAATACACTCAGTATGTTTTTCTTTTGTGCCTTCTGTCTCCAGCACCGAAAGCAGAAACTGTATGGGCAGAGAGAAGCCTACTGAATCAGGTGTTTACCTGTATTATGGAATACAGCATATAAAACCCAGCATTTGGAGGCTAGAACAAATTTAAATTCTAGCTCAGTCACTAAATAGCTATGTGGTCTTGGGCAGCTGGGTTACATTTTGGTAATTCTCTCAATATTCAAAAATATTCTCTCAACAAGGTGTAGTGGCTCACGCCCGTAATCCCAGCACTTTGGGAGGCCGAGACAGGCTGCTCACTTGAAGTCAGGAGTTTGAGACCAGCCTGACCAACATGGAAAAACCCTGTCTCTACTAAAAACACACAAAATATCAGCTGGGCATGGTGGTACATGCCTGTAATCCAGCTACTCAGGAGACTGAGGCAGGAGAATCGCCTGAACCCAGGAGGCAGAGGTTGCGGTGAGCTGAGACTGCACCATTGCACGCCGGCCTGGGCAACAAGAGCAAAACTCCACTGCCCCCCAAAAAAGAAAAACTCCTGGCAGACATGAGAGCAAAATCAAGTACCAAATGGGTAGCCAGGACATGATATCTACTGAATGATTTTGCCTGTTTGGGTGTTGAGACATGACTGGGGAGGTCTGGCCTGTCCCTGTGTCAGGTGATGAGGCTGGCCCACCCAGGGGTGTGGCAGCAGGGCTGGCCCAACTGTGACTTGTGATAACCCCACGCTGGCAAGGAGGAAGCCTGGATAAAACAGGCCCCTGAGATGGCTGGGGGCAGTGAAAGGGGCCCAAGAGACTATGGGGAGAAAAGCAGCCAGGCTCCTAGGCAGCCCTCCCCCACTGTTTCTGATAAGCAGGAGGAAGAGTCAAGGCCATGGAAATGCAGCTTTGAATTCCAGAAGCCAGAGGCCTGTTACAAAGGTGGTTTTCTGGGAAGCAAGAATCAGAGAGATTAGACCTGGCTTCAATATCTGACTTGACTCCAGCCTACTAAAGGATCTCCCAGTTCACCTGGGAGTTAGTCCTCTTACTCACTGTGTGGCTTTGGGTAAGTCCTTGCCCCTCTCTGGGCCTTGAGGTCCCATTCATAGAAAGAGCAGTTGGACTCAGGCTGCCAGCCCCCATTTTTGTGGCTCTTTTCCCCCACCCAATATCTCCTTGGCTATGGGGTATTTCTCCTAGGCACCTCCAAAAGGAAATGTCTAAAACAGAGCTCTCCACCTCCTCTACAAGACCAGCTCCCCACCACCCTCTTCCTGTCCTGTCCCTGTCCCTGTCTCTGCCGCCCTCCAGGTCAGGCAGGCAGGCCTAGAGCATCTGCCCTGAGACACTGTCTCTTGGCTACCTCAAAACGCCCCTTCCTTCTCTGCCCCCAGCCTCCATAGCCTCCGCACTCCTCTGCTTTCCCATCTGCTCTGCTCAGCCTGCAGGACTGATCTTCCTAAAGCCAGGCGTCAACCCGGCCACTCCCCCACCCACTGCTCAGCAGTCTTCCCACAGCCTCAGCCTGGCCCCCTCTCATCCGTCCCCTCCACGCACACGTGCCTCAATTGCCTGCTCAGCTCTTCACAACAGCCCACAGCCATCCTCCTTCCCCACCTTTGCCCCTTTCTTCCCTTCCTAAGGAAATGTTGGCCCCCTTCCCTCTGCCAGGCTGAACCCACTCATCCTGCAAAACCAAGGTCAACCCCCTGCTTTTTTTTTTTTTTTTTTGAGGCAGAATCTTACACTGTTGCCCAGGCTGGAGTGCAATGGTGTACTCTCGGCTCACTGCAACCTGCAGCTCTCCTGGGTTCAAGCGATTCTTCCACCTCAGCCTCCAGAGGAACTCTGATTACAGGCATACACCACCATACCCAGCTAATTTTTGTATTTGTATTTTTATTTCTTTTTTTTGTATGTGTGTGAGAGAGACGGAGTTTCACTCTTATTGCCCAGGCTGGAGTGCAATGGCGTGATCTTGGCTCACAGCAACCTCCGCCTCCCCGGTTCCAACATTCTCCTGCCTCAGCTTCCTCAGTAGCTAGGATTACAGACATGTGCCACCACTCCCAGCTAATTTTGTATTTTTAGCAGAGACGGAGTTTCTCCATGTTGGTCAGGCAGGTCTCAAACTCCTGACCTCAGGTGATCTACCCACCTTGGCCTCCCTAAGTGCTGGGAGTACAGGTGTGAGCCACCACACTCAGCCTATTTTTATTTTTATGTCTATTTATTTGTGAG